AAAGAAATCAGAATGAAGAAATCAGATAACAAAAGATAAAATGGCAGTACTAAGTCTTCATCTATCAATAATCATCCTAAACGTAAATGGACTGAATTCACAAATCAAAAGACACAGAGTGTCTGGATGGATTAAAAAACAAGATTCAACTATATGCTGTCTCTAGGAGACACACCTCAGCTCTCAGGACGAACATAAGGTAAAAATGAAGGAATAGTAGATGATACTCCACGGAAATAGCAGCCAAAAGAAAGTAGGTGTAGCCATACTCATATTAGACAAAATAGACTTCAAGGCAAAAAAGCTAAGTGACAAAAATAGACAGGATAAAATGATAAAGGGGAAATTCATCAAGGAGACATAACAGTGATTAATATATATGCATCTAACATAGGAGCACCAAAATATATAAAACAATTATTATCAGACCTAAAGGGAGAAATTGACAATAACACAGTAACGGTAAAGGAGTTTAGCCCCCCATTTATATCAATAGATAGGTCATCCAGACAGAATGTCAACAAGAAAACAGTGGCCTTAAATGATATATTGGACCAGTTGGATTTGATAGATTTGTACAGAACATTCCATCCACATGCAACAGAATACAGATTCTTCTCGAGTGTGCATGGATCTTTCTCAAGGATAGACGATATGCTGGTACACAAAACAAGTCTCAAAAAATTTAATAAGACTGAAATTATATCAAGCATCTTATGATCACAATGGTATGAAACTAGAAATCAACTACAAGAATAAAACTGGAAAAAATCACAAATATGTGGGGACTGAACAACATGCTCCTGAACAACTATTGGGTCAATGAAGAAATCGAAGGAGAAATCAAAAATTACTTGAAGACAAATGAAAATGAAAATATGACATACCAAAATCTATAGGATATAGCAAAAGTGGCACCAAGAGAAGTTTTTAGCAATAAAGACCTACCTCGAGAAACAAGAAAAGTCTCTAATAAACATTCCAACCTTATACCTAAAGGAACTAGAAAAAGAACAAATGAAGCCCAAAGTTAGTGGAAAGAAGGAAATAATAAAGGTCAGAGCAGAAGTAAATGAAATAGAGACTAAAAAGACAATAGAAAAGATCAATGGAGCTAAGAGCTGATTCTTCGAAAAGATAAAATTGACAAAACTTTAGCTACACACACTAAGAAGAAGAGGGAAGGTTCTGATAAATAAAATCAGAAACTAGAAGGGAGACATAACAATGGATACCACAGAAATATGAAGGAGTATAAAATACTATTATGAATAGCTATATGCCAACAAATTGGACAACCTAGAAGAAATGGACAATTATTTAGAATCATACAACCTTCCAAGACTGAATCATGAAGACATAAAAAATCTGAATAGACTGGTAACTAGTACAGAGATTGAAATGATCAAAAAGTTCTCACAAGGCAGGAGGGTATAGCTCAAGTTGTAGAATGCTTGCTTAGCATGCACAAGGTCCTGGATCCAATCCCTGGTACCTCCTCTAAAAATAATAGACCTAATTACCTACCCCTACCAAAAAAAAAAATCTTAATAAAGGTTTTGTATTTCTTAAAAAAAAAAAAGAGCTCCCACAAAACAAAAGTCTGGGACCATATGGCATCATAAGTGAATTCTACCAAACATTCAAAGATTAAGTATTCTCAAACTATTCCAAAAAATTGAAGAGGAGGGAATGCTTCCTAGCTCATTTTACGAGGCCAATATCACCCTGATATCAAAACCAGACAAGCAAGATACACACACAAAAAAATAACCTGATGATATTCAACATTCATTTATGATAAGAACTCTCAATAAAGTGGGTATAGGAGGAAAGCACCTCAACATAATGAAGACCATATATGACAGACTCACAGCTAACATCATACTCAATGGTGAAACACTGAAAGCTATACCTCTAAAATCAGGAGCAAGACAAGGATGCCTACTTTTGCCACTCTATTCAACATAGTATTGGAAGTCCTAGCCAGAGCAGTTAGCCAAGAAAAAGAAGTACATTTGTCACTATTTGTAGATGACATGATTTAATATATAGAAAACTCAAAAGATTCCACCAAAATATTAGAAATGATAAAGTTGCAGGATACAAAAATCTGTTGTGTTTCTATATGCTAACAATGAGCTAGCAAAGAGAAATTAATAAAACAATCCCATTTATAATCACAACAAAAAGAATAAAATACCTAGGAATAAATTTAACCAAGGAGGTTAAACTACAAGATGTTGTTGAAAGAAATTGAAGAAGACACAAATAAATGGAAAAATATTCCATGCTCATGAATTGGAAGAACTAACATTGTTAAAACGTCCATGTTACCTAAAGCAATTTACAGATTCAGTGCAATCCCTATGAAAATCCCAAGGACTTTTTCACAGTAGCAGAATAAAAAATACTAAAATTTGTATGGAACTACATAAAAGACCCTGAAAAGCCAAAGCAATTCTGAGGAAAAAAGAACAAAGCCAAAGGTATCACATTCCCTGATTTCAAACTGTATTACAAAGCTGCAGTACCAAAATAGCATGATACTGACAGAAAAACAGATACATAGATCAATGGAACAGAATTGAGAGCCAAGAATTAAGCCCACACACATATGGACAATTAATATATGAAAAAGGAGCAAAAAACATACAATGGAGAAAGGATAACTTCTTCAATAAATGGTGTTGAGATAACTGGACAGCCACATGCAAGAAAGAAAAGAAAGAAGGAAGAAAGGAGGGAGGAAGGAAGGAAAGAAAGGAAGGAAAGAAAGGAAGAAAGAAAATAAGAGAAAGAAAAAGAAGAGAGAGAGAAAGAAGAGAAGAAAGAAAAGAAAGAAAGAAACTAGAGCACTATCTCACACCATATACAAAAATCAACTCAAAATGGATTAAAGACAAATAAGACCTGAAACCATAGAACTCCTATAGGAAAATAGGCAGTATGCTCTTTGACATCGTCTTAGCATATCTTTCTAGACATGTCTTCTCAGGCAAGGGAAAAAAAGCAAAAGTAAACAAATGGGACTACATCAAACTAAAAATGTTCTGCACAGCAAACATCAACAAAATGAAAAGAAAACCTACTGAATGGGAGAGGATATTTTCAAATAATATATCCTATAAAAGGTCAATATTCAAAATATGTAAACAATTAGTGTAACTCAACAATAAAAAAAACCCGATTAAAAAATGGGCAGAGGACCTGAAGAAACATTTTTCCAAAGAAGACATACACATGGCAAGAAGGCACATGAAAAGATGTTAACCATCACAAATTATTAGGAAAATACAAATTAAAACCACTATGAGATATTACCTCATGCCTTTTAGAAAGCTAATATGAAAAAGACACAAAATAAGTATTGGCAAAGATGTGGAGAAAAGGAAACCCTTGTGAACTACTGGTGGGACTGTAAATTGGAGTAGCCCAATGGAAAACAGTATAGATGTTCCTCAAAAAATTAAGAATAGAACTACCATGTGATCCAGTTATCCCACTTCTGTGTATTTATCCAAAGAACAAGAAAACATTAATTTGAAAAGATAAATGCACCCCTATGTTCATCGCGGCATTATTTACAACAGCCAGATACGGAAACAACCTAAAGTGCTCATCAACAGATGAATAGATAAAGAGGGATATATAGATATCTATATATCTATATATCTATAGATATATAGATATCTATATATATATAATGCTATACTACTCAGCCATAAAAAAAACTATGAAATCTTGCCGTTTGTGACTACATGGATGGACCTGGAAGGTATTATGCTAAGTGAAATAAGTCAGATGGAGAAAGACAAATACTGTATGATTTCACTCATACGTGGAATATAAAAACAAAATAAATGAGCAAATCAAACAAAAACACTCAAATACAGAGAACAGAGTAGTGGTTACCAGAGGAGAAAAGGTTAGAGGGCGGGCAAAATGGGTAACGAGGACCAAATGTATGCTAACAAATGGAAACTAAATTTTTGTTGGTAAGCACTCTGTAGGGGATATAGCAGTAGAAATGAAACATATAATGTTATAAACCAATGTTACCTCAATAAAAAATAAATCTACAACAAAAACAAGATCAGGGGGAGGACCCAGAAGTTCATAGACAACTTTATTAGGTTGCTTTCCTGAGCTCTTAACCTCTATGATTGCCTCAGTAAACTTTTGGTTTGTTAGAGTTCCTCTTTAAAAACAAAAGACCTTGACTGAAACAAAAAATTTAAAAAACTCCATTATTCAAAATTCACAAAATGAAATCAGTGGAAAAGAAACGTTAACAATTACATGTTCAAGGGACTTTTTAAAGGAAAGCTTCTAACTCACATCTGAAGTTATTAAAGTTTAAAATTGCAGTAAGACTTTCAGGACACCTTGTATATATTACAAAAAGGCTCTAGATCTGATACGTGGAGCACCACCAGCCTACACTTCGCACCTACTTAGACCAGCCAACTGAAAACGTCTGGTCATGAAAGTAGTACCACACGGAGCTGCTCCTGGCCTCCGCCCTGAGGGAAGAGCACTGCTCCGGCGCTGACTGAGACCAGTTTGGGGGCTTCTCTGAGCCTCATCAGATTAGGGCTACCTTATCTGTGAAATGAGCACGGAACAGCTGTCTCTGGACAGTGGGGGGAACCAGATGAGAAGCACAGGGCGCTTGGACGACCCGACGCAAACCGCCGGGCCCCTATCCACAGCCCCACCTTCACCTTTGTCCCTCCCAGTTACGCAACAGTGTAGGCACCCGGGATGAGGGGAGCGACAGGTGGCCTCCGTGCCCTCCGCCGTCGCTCCGAGAGCGCCGGGCCGCACTCCAGGGTGCGCTGGGGGTAGGGGCGACTGTGCCCCGCCGGCAGCGCCCGGGGCCCGCTGCGCCCGCGTCCCTGGCCGTCCGCTGCGCGCGCTCAAAGCCCGAGTATTTTCTGCCCTCGGCCTTGGTGCCGGGGCTGCGGCGCCGGGCGGGGCAGCGGCGTGACTTTTCCGGAACTTTCCGGGGGGTGGGGGGGGACTTGCTCTCCCCGCCTCCAGCCTCCGCCCGGCGGCCGGGCGGGGCCCCAGCCGAGGCCGTGAACCCGTGGAGGGAGCAGTAGCTTTTGCTGCGCCAACACTGTGGCCGGAGGTTCTGCGCACCTCTGGGTAAGAGGCATCCCGCGGCCGATCTCGGGCCCTTGCCCAGGGGAGGGGGACCGGGCGAGGACAGAGATCACCCCTGAGGGTGGTTGTTGGCCCGCCTCTGTCCCAGCAGCCGGGACTGCGCGGCCCCTGTGCGTCCCGTTCCATCCCGCTTCACACTTTCCTTCCCCACTCCGGCATCCTCAGCTCTTTGCTGCCTTTGCTGGAACCCGGGTCCCGGGACTCCTGCTTCCTTCCCAGAATGTTCAAGGCCTCAGGGTCCCGGAGAGGCCGACCTGCGAAGGGCGTTAAAAACCGAAGAGTCCGTTGTCTTGTGTATGGGAATTTCTTGATACCTTAGTGTGTGGGAATTTATGGCGCTTTCCACTTGTTTACTGTGTCACGCGAAACGGTTCCCAGAGCGCAGTTGGATGCTCAGCCCCTGCGAGTGGGAGGTGACGTCTGCCCACAGCGGGGCACATTCATCCACCCACGCAGCTTGTGAGACCGAGAGGTGCTCAACTTTAGCTGAACCAGCAGAGGAGAGCATTTAGGGCACATGATGAACAGGAAGTGGTGGAAGGGTAGAAAGGGTCTTCTGCTGGAAATGGGGTCCTCTTTCCTCTTCGTTTCTCTCTTTTAATTACCAAAATCCCAATCTAGCTTCTTACTCAAAGACAGAGCGAGCAGAGCCTCTGGCTTTGCCTGGGCTGCCCATTGCTGTAGGATTCTGACCCGTTTTTGTGCCATTGTACTCCTTTGGCAGTGCTGTGAAGACTCGACCCCTTCTCAGTACAATGCTGTTAAAGGTGTAAAATAAAAGTCAGAGTATTATAAAGGAAACCAACTCCAAAACACTTGTCAACATATTGAAAGAATTTATGATGTAATTTTTGGGCCTTCAAAAAAAAAAAAGAATGCTGACAGGGATGGTATAGTTTAGGGGTAGAGTGCATGCTTAGCATGCACAAGGTGCTGGGTTCAATCCCCAGTACCTCCTCTGAAATAAGTAAATAAACCTAATTACCTCCACTGCCTTTTTTTTTTTTTTGAGAAAAGGAATGCAACAAATAACAGGATCTAGCAGTGGATCTACATTTTGAAGTAGTAATGAACATAAATAGCATTTCCAGATTTAGGAAATACCTGTAATAAAAGAAAGTATTTATGATTTCTTTTTGTGACAAAGTCCTAGGTACTGCTAGTACTGCTGGAGTTTATTGCCTGTGTGTGTAATTGAAGAGAGTGCTAAATTTCACTTAGAGATTAGTGAAAATAAAGAAGAAAAGTTTTACTTTACATCCAAGTTCATGGTTAAGTGAAAAGGATACTGCCCAGGAAGTCAGGTCACATGGCTTCTGGTCTTGACACTTCCATTTACTAGCAGTGTGAGCTCGTCTTTTGAACTTTTAGTTTCACTTCATCGTTGTACTGTGGAGATAATCATGCCTTCCCACGTATTTCCAGTGTCTGGCTCTGTACCTGGCACAGAGGGATGAAATAGCTACTTCACCCAAGAGACTGCTAGCGGTTTGCAATATGACTTAAAATTTGGGCTTCTTTTTTCCTACTTGCTGAACAATGTATAAGCACATCTGGAACTAGAGTGCTTGAAAGGTCAGTCAAGGCCCATGGATCTGTGTGTGTATAGATGTGTGGCTGGTGTTCTGCCAGAGAAAACAAAATTGTGTTGATAGGAAACCATGATTCCTTTGCCGAATAGTTTCTCCTCCATCTTGCCTGTGTCTAGGCTTGCTAATCTGACGTGATGTAACACAGGAAATGTCTTATAGGGAGTGGCGACAGACCCGTGATGAGGCATTTTTGGACATAGATGCACGTTTCTCTTTCTTCATCTCTTCACCTTGCTCTGCCCCACCACCCACTGCATAACTCCTCTCTTACCCTGAAGATTTGGTGAATAGGAGCAGTAGGTAGAAGTTGCTAGAAGCTGCCCAAACTAGACTTGAAGCCAACTAGTTGCTTTTTAATTCCAGCCTTAAAACTCAATGTAGTTCATCAAATATTGATGGAAATAGGAAGAAGAAAGGTAGATCCAGCTAGCCATCCCTGTGGTTTGCTTTGTAAAATTGCTAAACTGAGCAAGAAAGATGGAGAGAGAACTTGGTAAAGAACAGTAAATTTAGAACACACTGGAGCTATCTATGCCCCAGTAACTTGGGGAAGGGCAAATATTGGCATTATGGACTGAATTGTATCCCTTCAAATTCATATGTTGAAGCCCTAATCCTCAAAACCTTAGAATCTGACTATTTGGAGAGAGGGCCAAGGTTAAGTGAGATCATAGGGGTGGGGCCCTAACCCGTTATGACTAGTGTCCTTGTAAGAAGAGGAAAAGACACCAGGGGTGTGTGCAGAGGCAGGACCGTGTGAGGACATAGCAAGGTGGTGCCCTGCAAGCCAAGGAGAGAGGCCTCAGGAGAAACCAAACCTCCTGATGCCTTGATCTTGAACTCCCCGCCTCCAGAACTGTGAGAAAATAAATTCCTGTTGTCTAAGCCACCTAGTCTGTGATATTTCATTATGGCAGCCCCATAACTGGTAATATAACTGGGTGTCCTGTTCTAAGTTGTGATCCCAAGATGGCCATCACTTTCTCCTAGGACCTCTCTCCCTCTCCTACCCAGGAGACTCCTATACTCTCTTTCTATGGACACTCTTTATAGTCCCTGAGATCCTGTCTGAGACCATTAAGGCCTGTTCACCTTCATAATCCTGACTGTTAGGGAAAACAGAACTTGCCATCTTACACAGATGACCAGGCCAGCTGCCTGGCCTTGTACAGAGCAGGTCCCTTATAAATGCATGGTGGGTAATGGGACAACGGTGCTGGTGCTCATCCTTATGTACCATGGAGTGATTCCTTTCTAGTCATAATGAATTTCCAAGTTTTGACTCTAGCCCAGCCCTCAGGGAGCTTTTATTCTGTGCAGCCCTGTCTACAGTAATGGAGACGACATTTCTATGTCTTTATCTTGTGACCAATCCCTGACTTCTGGAAGAGGGGCTTCAGTAGTGGGGCCTGTGGTGATTTCACCTTGCCATGCTTTCTTTTTGCTTTGGCAACTTGCTCTAAGGCAGCCCATGATGTCTCCATAGGAAAATGATATGTTTTAACAATCATCTTGTTTACAGTCTAGATTGTGAGAGCATCTCAAGGAGCTGCTGTGTTTAAATGTGATTTTGTGTTTCTGTGAGCTTGTAAATGGTGCTTGAGGTAGGTGAGAGGTCATCCTGTTTTGGGCCACCTGGGTTTGCATGGTCATTGTGAGCCTTTCAAGATGTGGGTGATCAAATCTAAGCTTGCTTTGAGTCACAGAGTAGGAGGGGGCTTTATAGTCAACTTATTTTACGTTTGTGGAAATGGACTCAAAGTGGTTGTGACTTGCCTACGGCTCCATGATGTCTGTTCCCTCACTTATAAAATGAGGATAGTAATACCAACCTCTCAAGTTGTTGTTAGTACAATGCGTAGCACAAGCCTGTCATCCAGCAAACCTTCAACTGTTTTTTCCGACGTTTTTATTATGCCTGGGATAGGGCACAGCTGCTGCCCAGTGAATCATGGCCAATCATGGTCCAGGTGTAGGACTCTGGGGAAGAGAACGGGAGATATGCTTTCCAGTCTGATTATGTTCTAGGCCTGGTTATAAACCTCTGTCAGTCTTTGCTACAATAATTCAAAGGTCCAACCAATTTAAGGAGTTAGTAGAACAAGTATTCTCATTTGAGTATCTGCTTATGAACTTCGGTTTCCCTTTTGCTCTTATTTAGAGGACCATAGAGTTTTAGAAAAGGAAGGGACCTTTGAAGCTACCCAGTTGAGCCCTTTATTCCATTGATGAAGAAAGTGTGACCTGGAATAGTTAAGGACGAGCCCTACCTGGCACTACCTGGAGTGTGGGCCTGGGTCTTCTGACTCCTGACAAGTCCTCAGACAAGGCTTTTGCAGGAGGGGGAACTGTGTCATTTGGTTAGACGTAGGAACCTGGCACACCTGCTGCCGTGTCTACTCCTCATTCTGTCCTAACCATTAAAGGATTGAGTTTGGCGTCTCTCCCATACTGTTCAAACAGTAGATGTATATAACTTGTAATTAAAGAAGCTCTTCTCACTGTGTGAAGACCTCACACCCTGGAGTCCAGGGGACACTATGCTTGACTAATTGGCCAGTCAGTTGTCTCTGTTTATAATGAAACTCTGCTCCTCAGAGTCTTCTTGTATGTGAAACTGAGTGGGGATTCCAGCACTCCTGACGCTGCTGAGCACTTTTATTGTGATCATTGAATGGGTTCAGGAGACCAAGGCGTAAGCTGGATCCCTGCTGTGTGATGGAAGCCAATTCATTCCACATCGGGCCACCAGGCCTCCCTCTCCAGTGTGCCTTGTTCTGTCTTCTCAGGACAGACACAGACAGGCATATGCAAAAGTTGAACAGAAACCTTCATTACACTTGACTAGAGGCCAACTGTGGATGATGGAGTTGAAGGAGAGCTAAATCGTGATGTTTTAGACACTAGGATGTGAGCGCCCAAGCTCCCGCTGGCTAAAGCAGGCGGAGAAACAAGGCACTCTCCCCACAGAATTCGGTCAAAGCCTTTCACTTTCAGTTGAATATTCCAATTGACTGATTTCTTTTTCCTTTTCTGGAGCCATAATGTGAGAGAATTCTCCTTCTGTAAACATAATTTTTGTTTTCTGCTTAGCCAATGTATGGTTTGGTGCAATTGTCAGCCCCTCCCTCTTATGTGGCTTTCTGGTCATACAATGAGTGTGGGCTAGGGAAACTTGTAGGAAAGGGAGTCACACCTCATTGACACATTCCCATTAGTAACTCTTAATTAGTAATTCTTTAAAGAACTTGATTACTGTTTGCCCCTTAAGAGTCAGGGAACTAAAGAACCCCAGTGTGGCTCTAATCCCTGAATCATCAGGGAGCTATAGGTGATTGCTTCTGTTTCCTGGATGATTTGCTCCTGGTCCACTCCCACAGTACTGGTTCC